AATTATATAAAAACATAGAAACACGTGCAATTAAAAATATACAACAACGTTTGGATACAAAACACATATGAATCATGGATAAGGCTTTTTATAGATTACCTAAATTACGTAATCGATGTATTAGGATCATATCCATTTAGATTTTAATATTTTCAATATGACATCCTTATTGTAATAACTACCACTAGGTACATACCTATTCCATTAGCCAAAACCGGAACCTGAGTTTGGGATTTTTAAATTAAAAATAAACAAAACTTATTAACATAATCATATTTACAATCTACTTAGGTATTTGTACCATTTTTCTACATTTCAATTTTCATTATTAGTCATTTCTTCGTTTCAACGTGAATCAGACGCAGTTGATATGGATACTAATTGACAAAGAATTTTATTAGCACAGTTGAATATAATATCATTATTATTTTATGATTAATAGGATAATAATCAATATATGTACAACGTTGAAACATACCTAGGTGGTGTACAAGTATATTGCGAATAAACATTCAGTAGGTTTCTTGGTCACCTAATATTTCAACTTTTAACGAAATTAATTATTTCGTTTCTACCAGATTAAAGTTAAAATAATTAATGTTTTTGTCATCAATATCTCTTAAAATCTTGGAAGGATATGCGTATATGTGCGTTTATATATATGCGTTTTCTTGACAATAGTTCAAGTAGTTATATGTCTATGGTTTATACTTTATAAACAATATATCCAGGATTCAGTATTGTATTACCTTCTCCTCTAAAGTAAATAATTAAATACAATATTTTCGTAGAAACAAGAATAACACTTTTCAATGTATACTTTTAAATAATTTATTAAAGACAGTAGCGTAGGTCACCTCAACGCAAAAGTGCACAATACAGATGAGTGGGCTAACCGGTCAATACTATGTTCAGACGTACATGCATGACACTAACTATGTATTGACTCATGTCTTGACATCCTTGACCGGGACATTACTAATCTTATACAACATAAATAGTAAGACAGTCAAGTACATAGACTCACAATTAGACAGACCTCAATTAGTCTATTAATTTTTTTATGTAACTGGAATGACAAATAAGCTAAAGGCCACCATCACTATTGGTGAGGGGTAATTGTCTCCTATATACATGAATAGAATCCATTATTAATTAAAATTAAAATCCTGAACAGAGAGCCATTCCGATGGACTAATATGTTATAATCATCCGTGCCAACTGTGCTAGTTTCACAGTTTCCCTCTTCAACTGAAACACCTCTTACAAAGCAAGTGCCTGGCCCCTGAAATACTTAAGTGAGCAAGATACATCCACAGAGACGACTCTATACAAACTTTATCTCGATACAAATATTATTAGATGTAGTTATTGAATTTATTTTATTTTTATTTAGAATTTGAATCAACAGCTAATATTATCGACTATGTATGTGACTGTAGTTTACTTGCATTTTTATATTAAAGTAATTACATTAATATTAGGTACTTATTACATAAGATGTTAGATAGATTATTAAATGAAGCATATATTCAAATCTATGTATCATTTCACATTTATTTAGTTTCATTTCCACTGCATTAACTCAAAAGCCAGTCGTGATAGTGCAGTATAGGTAAACTTTTCCCATGTCCTATAGCGGCCTTAAATTTACTCATGTGGCCTTACAAACTGAGAACTCTCAATTTTAGTATAATTGACTGTTAGTAGGTAGCTGCAGTAGTATACTGCTGTAACCAAACAACAAAACATTTGGCAATGTAATTGTGTAAATTGAATTAAGTGGGTTTAACCGCGAATCGAACTATGGAGTATCTACCTATAATTTATTTAAGTATGTACTTTGTGATCAATCTCTATGAATTCATTCACACAATGAATATACACTTAGATGTAATAGGTAGGTTCGTTAGCAGATGATGACGATGGTGCTCCATCATCAACATGAGCCTCAAGCCTGTCCGCGCTAACTGTAAAAGATGTTTAGACGTGATGAGTTAGCCCATAAGAACCAACTAGTCAAGAACTAACCACAATAAATTCCTGAAAGGACCTGGTGGAGTCCGATCTCTTAAGGCTAATAAAATTAATATTATTATTTCCATATATTGACAAAACCGAAGAGTATCCAAACAACTCTAACTGTCTACATACTCTTATAAACAATGCAATGCATATGAAATATCAGTGGTGCATTGATCTGTAATAAACTTCTTGATATCACTAATGAAGCTATTGTTCGAAAAACACATTGAAAATACATCATTAAGTATCAATTGGTGATAATATAAACAATAAATGTAAAATAGAAAACACAAGTGCCTATTAATTTAACGAATCATAAATAAAAACTACAAAATAAATACTTACAGACTTGTTTTATCTAAAATATTCCGTAATAGGTACACAATAAAAAGACAATGTTATACACAAGTTTAGTGGCACTAAGTCTACTTAATTTAATTACTAAACGCTTACCTAGTAATGTGTAGGACGTGACTATCAGCTGTCCGAAGTATCCATACAACAGAACCAAAACTATATATGCTCAAATAGTAAACTTTTATCTATTTAAATTGTTTCAATTTGAAAGTATGTTTTTTAGGGACTATATTGTATTTAACGAGGATAATATGAGCAAGGTGTACCCTTATGTATAACAAAGTCTGCCCTTATGTAATCAGTATACGTTAGCGATCCACCTGTGGACAGTGATAGGATAGGCTTCAAGTCAGGTCAATCAGGCTTTTATGGAGAATACATTAGAAATTTACCGTAATGATTTTTCAGAGGGAACCACCTGGACATTGTGACCTGGCAGGACAAATTGCATGCAATGAGAACACTAATCCCCATTAGGTACTATCCACCCTCTCCACTACAGTAGTATATAAACCTAACCCAAAAATGGCCCAGTGACTTCGCATAGCCACAGTTACGATAATATGATAAAGATAACAGTAACCGAGCAAATTTAATGTGTATATAGCACATAAAATTCAAACATAACTTGGTGAAAAGTGAAGCGGAAAATATTTATGATTTTAGAAAGCATGAATATGTTGCCGATATAAATCGTTTTCACCATTATAGATCACTTCATTTGACCTGTGAAAGTGTTATTTGTACGTTAACTGGGATTTATGTAAAGACGTTTTACTTCAGTGACTAACTAGGTACTAGTTGTTTTGTATAATCAAAAAAAATTATAGATACGTAGATCATAAATTACTTATAATTATCATTAATCATTTTTATTAAATCCCCAATAATAAATAGAACTATAGATATATAATTTTTAAGGTATATATTTATCTACTTTATTGTAAATACTAACTTTTAAAATTATATAAAAATATATATCGGCAATTATCTCAAATGGTAGTCAGAAGCATTATCAATCGTTGACATCAACACTTGACATGCCCACATTTTGCTGAAAATATTTGAAAGAACATCGCGCCTCGCCGTCTCTCAGCTCAATTCTTGTTATGTTAGCGACGATTCCTTCATGGGAAAGTCAGACAAAAATGTAAATAGATACACTAAGTCTTTTTGCCATGTCGCCCAGATTTGGCCTCAAAACTTTTTTTAAATTTGAGATAGGGTATATCTATATTAACCAATACAGTACTAAAAAAATATGTAAGTTATTTCTCATCGTCATTACATAGTATAAAACAAAGTCGCTGTCGCTGTCTGTCCTTGCCTATGTATGCTTAAATCTTTAAAACTATGCAACGAATTTTGAAGTTTTGTTTTTAATAATTAGAGTGATTCAAGAGGAAGGTTTATATGTAATAATAACATGTACACCCGGGCGAAGACGGGGCTAGTAGCTAGTAAATTTTATATACGAGTATATCGGAATTTCTTGGGTATAGAGAGAATTTAATGACCTAATAAATATATTTACTTATATTTTTATCTGTTGCCTCAGTGGTCTAGCGGTTTAGCACGTGTTATTTCCGGTGATCACGGGTTCGATTCAAACAATTGTTTTCATAAGTATGATTGTATTCAAATGGATGTACTATATGTATGTATATTATGCATATATTTATAACTAAATACCGATACTACAAGCTCTGCTTAGCTTGGATTGAGATGGCACTGTGTGAATTATCCGATTTATTATTATTTCTATTACAGGGATTCGCCAAAACAAAGCGATAGATTGCATCAGATATCATAATTAAAATTCTAGTAGTAATGAAATATTTAGTAAACACTCAGATTGCACCAGATTTAATTATTTTAGAAATGCAATCGTCACTGTCCAAGATCGTTCAAGAAACAATAAACGGTATGAATGTTTCCTACCGTTGCATCGTGAACAATCGCTTCTAATATGCGCTGGAATAATTTCAGCGGCAATAATTTTTGCGCAATGGACACGTTTCACCGACGTCGGAAAGGGAAGCCGATCGCGTGTCACGCTTGGGCGAATGAAAAAACTTAGTAACAAAAATATATGAATCTATATAACTAGTTGTTTGATTTACATACACGCAATAGACTTGTACGTGCAATAATGCAAACGATAATTAACTAAATGGGTGTCACAGTATTATAATATCGGCTCCTTTACTCCGAGACACCGTTTTTGAGCAACTTCTAAATTAGTGGTCAAGTAGGCTGTATCTTCTGCTTTTTTAATGAATTAAAATTTCATCAAGATCTTACGAATAAATTTTGAGTATCTATAATAGCTAGTATTATTTCTAGATACACTGTAGTGGTAATTTTATTAGTAGACAAAAAAAACCTGTGTCCATCTTGAAATTTACAGCTAGCGGACAAAATGTACTCCAAAAAAGGCTGTGAAATTAATAGTGTTAGTGTTAGTGTTGTGCTGTAGTGTTAAAAACAGTTAGGTACATGTTTCAATGTATTTTGTTCGGTTTACTACAAATTTACTATACAAAACACATCCTTTTCCATCAACTATAGACAGTTCCACTTCATAATCAAATATCCTGTTTCAAAATAAAACAATGTTATAAATAAAGATATTTATGTATAATCATTTCTTACAAAATTATTTACAACACAATTATTATGCACAATAACCATTGTCATATAAAACATTACAATTGAGATAAATTAACATTTCTGAGGCGAATTTACAGCGTTTTACGTTACTTATCTACCACTAAAGTTAAACACTAATTACAGATCGATTTAGGCACCTTCATCAAATATCAACCACAACACGATAATTCGTTTAACACGCATTTTGATCATGTAAAAACTTTCAAATTTAATTAATATCAATAAATCCAAAAACCTTAGAAGACAATTTTAATCATTTTTAAATGAAACCACATTACGAAATAATAAGTTACATAATTAAGTGTTTGATAGTATGTATATAAATAAATAAACTTAATACATGTATAATATATGTAGAAAACAAGACATACACAATGAAAGGAATAGTACTACAAAATGAAGATATGAAAAATTATATTAATTGTAGATACAAAATAAATATGTAGGAATGTTACTTCGATACAACTCGCGTGCCTCATACTACTTACATAAAAATGATTTCATATAAAACAACACAGTAATTATCTCATACAGCCATATTTACAATCTGAGAAATAAGTAAAAGCGATGGCAAATGGGCAATATATCATAAATCTATGATAAAACTATACTATTTATACATTACTTTACATTATTCTGTATGTTACATTATATTTATCGTAAAATTAATACTTTCTTTGAATACAAATTCACTTAGGACCGCTGTCAACGAAAGCAGATGTGAAATTTTCCCTTTTCATGTCTGCTTTAGCGAAAGTGGAGTGCCGCTATCGCGCTAAAACTAAAGTCTTGCCAGGTCTGGAAACTTTGATTTACAATATTATTGTCGAGGCAATGAGAAGCATGATTGATGAACGTTGATATAAAAGCACATATGGCCGTGTCCGGCGAATAAAAAGACAATCGTAAAATTTTAAGGAAATTTAAAAATAATGTAACCATTGTTTGCTGAGTAAACAACTCAGATAAAAAATATTAATTACATCAAATATTCAAGTTTGTATAACAATTCAGTTAACCAAAAAGGATTGAAAACAGTAAAATTATCTAATTAATTAAAAACAGAATGTGCCTACATTATGAAGTAAATAAGAATGAAACTGTTTCAATATTTTTGTCGATTATAAACGAGTTAATATGTGCTTACGAAAATTATGAAAATATCTATAAAAGACAGGAATACAATTTTTGAGCTCTGTATATATCGCATGTATGGTTCTCATTTTATTCTCCGGTGACGTGAAAATACTTAGTATTCATAATAATATTTAAAATTATGTCGCAGTATACGCAAATAATACGATACACTGCATAATTTTTCAACTGAAGAAAACAAATGTATTAAAATGTACATCATAATGTTTTCAGTCTTACCATTTTATTTACATGGACAATATGGCGACAACCATGAAATGCCGACGATCATGATATATTAACGTATTGTATGATATGCAAATCGCAATATACAATATACTCTTGTCAGTCCATATCACGACTGTAAATATCACATGTTGTTGAAGTCCGACCACTAATAACTAACGACAAATCAATTGTATAAGTTGGACGTCTACATTTTCATATTGATGTTGATTTTTTATACTTAAATTGAACATTTGCAATATGCTTTTTGTTCAAATAAATGGTGTTTTCAACAAAAGGCCGTCTACAGCTAGAGCAATATTAAAATAATTCGTCGTTGTAAAAAATATTCATTGGCAAAAATTTTCCATGTAAAATTTTTTCTTTACATTTCAAACAAACATTTGCACAAGTGATATTAAATTGCATATTCTTAATTATACGCTTATTTTATGTACTAACTTGTGGTTACATATAGTAAGCACACAGTAGTATGAATAAGTGTAAAATATTATTGATTGGATGTAGTATAATAAAAAAATATATGTTTACAACAATACCAATATGCATTCTTCAACATTTCCATCTCAATATGACAAAATTGTAAACTATATCTTTGAATAAAATTTCAATCAATTCAAGAATTCATAGTACGAATTGAGTACGTATTTTATCAAATCAAATGAAGCAATACGCAAAATCTCTAATGAGGCCGGCTTTTAGAATCCATATACTTACAGCTTTAGTCAATATAGGCTTTATGATGGTACTGAAGCCTAACATGTATAATTATTCCACTAGTAATATTCACTTATCGCTTTACCTACCATTGAGATCATATCTTACACGGTAGTAGTATTTGCTTACATAAGACTTGTCCATAGCTTCTATTTTCACATAATTGTCCTAATAAAAAACTACATACGCACCAATGTGTCATAAAGAATTGTATTGTTGCTTACAATACATTGTGCCACATAAAAGGTCTTCGTGTACCTACAACGAAGGTTAGTTGTGTTGACACCAGAGGGCGCTTTGACACGAATAACAACAGTTCATAATATGTAGAAAAATCCTCTATTGCTTATATAATAATTTATCTGTATGTCTGGGGACTAGTGGGAGCTGGAGTGTACATTATGTTGTGCCTTCTTCTTTCGTTGTGCGAGCATATCATAAAAGGGGTTATGACTTATCGACCGACGGAGACACACGATCCATTCGTCTCGTTCTTCCGCTGTCGCTGCTGACATTCTGTATAAAAAGAAACAATAAACAGGTTTATATTGTTTTCTTATAACCACAATTTTTTAAATATCCCTATAAAAATTTGAGGTGACCAGCACGGCAATTAACTTTTCGTTTAAGAATAACGTTCGTTGTTTTTGTGTTTTACTACGCTATGGCATGATGATGCCAGTATATTATTTAAGTAGTATGTTAACTTCAAATAAATAAATAATGAAAACTACACACTAGTAATGTAAAGTACCATGATACAACAATACTTTAATAATTATAATATGATTAAGCCTAACATTTTACTAAATATAAGTATGTTAAGTATGTTTTAACCAAGGAAAGTGTATGTGTTAAATTAATTACTCATCGAAATCCGCCGTTTATGACTAATAAGTTATGGTAATAATAATAAACAAGGACAATTACACAGTGCTAGTCCCATGTTAAGCAGTACTTGTATTCCCGGTAGTAAACAAATGATAAAGATACTTAAATATGTATATATAATAGCAGACCAATACAAACAATCATACTCATGAATACAAGTGATTGTAAAATCGAACACGCCGCCATCGAAAGTAAGGTGGTGATACGCCACGTCCTCATTTTACATAAAATAAAAAAATAATAATAATAACCCAGGACAATTTGTACAGCGCCATCTAGTTCCAAGCTAAGCAGAGGTTGTGTAATAGACAACTGATACCATACTTATTTTATAAAGGGGAACCTAATATACATAGAAACAGACAGACCAATACAATCATAATCATGAATCATAATCACAAATGTTTGTACCGTGCGAGGTATCGCACCCGCAACCATCATAGGTAAGGCGGTAGTCTAAACCTCTAGACAACGTGTCCGTCCGAAACAGAGAGTAGGTCATGTAAAGAGTAGGTCACAAATCCGCTGCATACCTGTATACAGTATGTTTCCCTTCAACAACTTTCCCTTCCGAGTCCGTTTTGCACGCCTTGATGAGATCGGCGCCACCGCTCGCGTATAATTCCAAACAGTGCGGCCGTTGTCGATCACTCGCGGGACGAACCTGAAACGACATGCAACAATAACTTTAATGTCATCAATATTATTACGGGCAGTTTTATTAACATTTCAATCGGCTTATACATATATTAATGCGGTTTATGAGTATTTGGTTCACTGATCATCTGTATACATAAAGTAATAAATAGGCTGAAAACTAATTGAGTGTCGGACACATCAAATTGCAGCTGAAACAATTAAAGATAGAAACACGCCCTGAACACATTATTCTAAACCGCGTAACCGCAGATCCGTGTATACATGAATATATCGAACAATAGATATTCTTTCTTCGAATAGTTATAGTTGAGTCACGGAGGACAGAAAGCGTAATAATAAATAATAAGTAATTTTAATTATTTATATACTATATTTATATTTTTTATATCATTTAATTTGCCAGTAAAACAGTATTACATTGAATATAAATACAGCAATATAAATAAACATTTATAAATGTCCAGTTGTCCAGTTTTCATTCAGAAATGACAGAACTTAATAATATTATACAAGACAATAAAATCTATCAAATGTAGCTAAACTTTTTATGTACTAAATTTACTTATGTGAAATGTGAGAAATTTGTTACCTCTTGGCGCTTAAACTACTTAAATCTATGTCATGAAATTTAGAGTTCAGATAAATATCTGAACTCTAAATTTCAAATAAACTCTAAATAGAGTAGAAACGGACAGACTATTTTTTATCCAGTTCAATCTGTTACACGAACACAGTCGCCAATGATCCAACAAAATAAAAAGTACAGAATTTTGATGAGTGTAATGGGTATTTTTTTTTTAAATAAGATCCCTAGTCCAATCAAACGGGGATTGTAATTAGTATAGTAGTAGCATTAAGTAATTGTATATTCAACAGAAATGAATGACTAAAATCGATTTCATTTATAACTGCCTTGGAAGTATGTATTTTGCCGACAATTTGTATAAATGAATCGGTATGTGTACCGGATAGCGTGTCTTATTATAAAAATCTAACATAAAACGCTATGAAAATACTCACAGATATGTTTTCTAACGGAATGATGCCTCTAGGCTCTTTGTCTGTCGTGTATTCAAAGTAGTACAGACAGTTGTCATTTAATATGAACCACCTCCTCTTCCATGATTTATATCTGAAAATAATTAATTAATAATAAAAAATAATAATAATATAATAGCGATAATTGCTATTTTATATATACACAATCCCGTTTCTATGATGCTAGTCAAATTTAATTTAAATTCAGATAATGCAGAAAAATTACAGGATACGTAAAAACAGGTTCTAAGGAATGGTAACGCACCAAGGATACTGTCCAGTTAGTCAGACAGAAATAAATACACAACTTTGTCACAATAGCAACTTAACATGTACCTATATATTTTAGTTATCAACTAGCACCTCTATCCAAAACATCAGATACTTAAATAAAAAATAAATATTTTGCATTATTTAAATTAAATACCTTTATTAATATTATTTCCTTTTCTGTGGAATGTTCCCTACAAATTTTATGAATTTTTGTTTTAAATACATTACGATATTAAATTAGTTTTGAACATAAAAGGTATAATACTGATAAATCCTATCCTGTTACTAAATATATTATATAAACATTGTTTCTTGATATCAATGACGTATAATATTATTTTCAATTAATATATTTATTATGTATTCCCGCCAAAATATAATTATATGTCTATTATATTTTGGCGGAAATCCATAAATACACAACAATCATATCTCTAATAAGACAATATTAGATCAAAATATTACCTTCCTCCTTGTTTCCAAAGCCACCCCTCTTTGTCCGGATTGAAGAAGGTATGCATGAGATCGTTGCCGTCGTCCTCGGGTATTTTGAATGGCTCCGTCTTTATCGACTCGTATAAAGACTGAAAACAATACAAAATAATTATATTTTTATTTTATTAACACAGGAACTGCATCGCATAATATTCTTACATTTGTAAAAAAAAAACATAGTTATATTTAAAACTATATACATACGTGTAGCGGGTAATATGTAATTATTTTCCTTATAACATCATTATTACAAATACCTAATTACGATCTGCGTTTAATTCACGGAATTAAAATCACTTTTAATGTAAATATTGAAATGTTTTCAGTGACTAATACAAAAGTAAACCGACTATGATATTACAACGGTCGCGACTAACTGTGGAGTTCAAATAGATGTCATGGATTGCATGATAACTACGCACATACTGTTGACATTACAGATAAGAATACTTAATGATCACCGTTCAAGTTATTTCTGGTTGATAATATGATATTCAATGAGGACGATGCCGTACTATTTTTATTAGCACCTGTTTACTCGTTATAGAAATATGTATTGGTCATACGGTTATAACAAACGTAAAAATATGATCGTATACGATTTAGCAAGAGACGGGTCTTGGCGACCGCGTATTCAATCGAGTAGTATATATATACTCAGTGGCCTGTGAGTAGATATTTTTATGTATGAATGAATTAATGAATTAGTGTTTTTACAATTTACGGTAAATGTTTTACCGATATTTTTTTATATACAATGGACAAAACAATAATTCTCTAACAATCTAATATTTTGTATATATTCTCTATTGCACTCAGAAAATCCTATTAATATTATATACGCGAAAGTTCGTGAGTATGGATGGATGTTTATTACTCTTTCACGCAAAAACTACTTAACGGATTTTAATAAAACTTTACGGTAATATAGATTACACATACATATAAAAAATATAGGCTATAAATTCCACTCCCAACAAAGGTCGACTTATCAATAGAAGAGATCTCTTCCAGTCAACTCAAAATAGTGGCGTAGGTGGTAATGAGTACGTAAAAATTAGTGCAAAACATAAATACAATATCAAAATTGAATTAAAAATACTAATTACAAATAGTACAATAATCAAAATTATCAGGAGGAAACAAAATAGTAGGTCCTATGGATTACATAAAGTACATAGATACAACAAAATTTATTCCATTTTGATACACAATGCATTAGAGGTAAGTAAACAAAAAAATCCGCTAAGTTAAGAATTTCCTTTTGACAATTGGAAACAAACTTAATTCCCTATTACCTTCCCTATAAATATATCAAGGTGGCGCAATGTGGATAAAAGACAAAAAAATAGACTATCTACATTCCTTGCGTAAGTAGTTAAAATTCATAATTACTACTACATTTGTTATGTCCATCTATATTATCTATAGATATAGAACATAAAAGATGATGCATATCTTAAAGGGATTTTGAGTACATTTGTATCATGGCGGAGATCAATACCAATTTTAATAATACCACGTTGTTTGTGAAGTATTTATATAAAAAATATACTAACTTGCACAATGTATGAAGCCATGTAGAACCGAATGTTTAATTAATCAGTTCTACATGATTTATTTCATGCAGACCTCGTTACTGAATTAAAACTAAGTCAATAAATTATTTTGAGGTCATTCAAACATTATACAACAAAGGGAAGCCACGTAGTACGGACTGCAGCTTGTGTATTATAATATGTTATAAATAGTTCTTTCAATAATACAAATATTGATTTAACCAACATACCTACATAACGCAATGTAATAAATTGTAAAAACTAGCTTCTAGATTTGTATAATCTAGCAAGATTTTAATATTAAATAAAATCTTGCTAGTATGCAACTTTAATAATTGAATAAAGTAGATAGTATTACAAGGTTCGAGAAAAAGAAAAGAAATGTAATAAAAAGAATTTACCTATATATACACAAAAGTGTTCAGGTATATAGAAGACGGTTGTCACTTAATAACGTCAACTTGCTTTCCATGTCACTTAAATAAAAAATATATTGTTGTGCAACGTCAAAATATAAGAATTTTTCTATTGTTAAAATGGTCGAAAATATGTACTATTATTATGCATTCTGTATTTAAAAAAAGAAACATTTAAACACTATATAAGTGGGAGACAAGGAAAACTAATGTCATAAGGTTAAAAAATATTTGTAATTTTGGTATTTTTAATTTTTGAAGATACATAAATACTATATGTTAATGTAGTGGCTTATAAGCTTGATAACATTTGTAATAAAAACGAACGTAATTACGCATCCATTTACATTACTTTAAATAAGCAGACTATAGTTATTTATGCCTATTGTTCTTAAATACATGTACTTGATATATCTATGTCATATTATTATACAGATTTGTACTCTATACAATAAAGTTAAAATAGCACTAAGAGAAACTAACCAAGAGCAACTCCTGAGGTAGGTCTCCACCATTGTTGATCCCTCTATTCATGGCAACGAACTGTTCCGGGGAAGGTTTGTCTTTCACGCTGGGGTTATGTAACGACGTGTTCAACATGATTATGGCGAAACTAAGCACGTAACACGTATCCGCGTTAGTGAAAATATCCGGATTCAACTGGCAATACCGCTGCGCGAAACACTCCATCATCCTGTCGATTTTCTGTGCCTCGCCAGGCAAGCGGAAACTCCAAAGGAATTGTCTGTAATAGAAAATTGATAATTGTTTAATATTAACTCTTTGAACAAGATTAAATTAATAACAACGACTAACTTAATAAATATGATCGATAGACACTCTAGTTCTAATACTACTCCTAGGCGCGTTAAAACATGGTCCCAGAGATACTAAAACAAATCATTTATAACTACAGTATGTGGAATATATAGTAATAATTGATACACTCTGCATTAAATAGAATGACAATGTCATAGTAAATAAATTTATTAATCTATACCGTCGCGCGTCACTCATTAGCTTGTTTATCACTCATTACAAGTAATATAGAAAAAGTGACATCGCCAATAGATATTATGAACGATAACAATGGACATCTTTGGATATACTACTGACGTCAATGTTGGAAACAACTCGTGTGACCTTGTCACGATTAGAGTTTATTGACAAAATTCGTGTGTAAAATATTTGGCATAGTAAATATGACATTATTTACTATGCCAAATATGTGGCAAAATACTTTTACAGGCTTGAGACCATACGAACCGTAGAGTACTAAGATATTAATTTAATAAATAAATAATAGTAGCATATTACGATAAGAGAAAAAGTTCAAGGTTCATGAAATTGGTTCTCATTACATTACTTGGTAATATGCCAATGTAACTAAACAAAAAGGCTTAATATTTCTATGCTTACTTCAATTCAAGGTCACTTTTCTCATTTGTACTCCGCAAAAAGAGGTCTAGAGAGTTGACATTTACTTTAATAAGTACGTATACACACGATGCAATTTCATTCTCTTTGTACGCCTGAATTTTCCTTGTCCTAAATTTAAGCTAAGTAGGATAATATTGTATGAAACTGGAAGGAAGTCGAGTCGGTTCAAGTTTTTCCAGGATTAAAGTATGTATATTACTACTCGAATATTTTATTACTACCCAAAAAGATATTTAAATCTTTCGTGGTTAGAATACACACTTGACGGTGCGAAATCAAAAAATCACAATGCTTCCAAGTAAAGTAATTAAAATTTTATACAGTAGTTACAAAACGCGTTATTTACAATGAAAAGGTAACCAAAACAAATACAGTTGAAATTTCGCCAATCTCCTGTGCTAATAATATTCTACCTGGTCACGAACAACCTTTTCTTTTTGGAATGCTTATAAACATTTGATTTGGTTGTTAATTATTTACATATCTCAGTTTACATATCTCGCTTTACGTCCTTTTATCTGATCTAATGTTGACTGTTTGCCGACAAACATAATGTGCTATTTCTAAATTCTAAATTTATTTTTGCAGATTTATTGTATATGCGATAACTAAAATATACGTTTTTAGTCATATAGGAATATACAAAACGTATAATTATAACTAAGTTTAGATATATGAGTGTTCTCATAATAAGGTTTTGTTCCAGAAAATAAATCTTGTTTTAACCATTCACGCCAAAATGCAATATTGATTCTACGAAAGTAAATTGTATCGCTTGGAAAGAGTCCTAAAACCTGTTTTCAGAATCAATATTGCCTAACATACACCAATAAAATACTATGGCATTGACAACGTCCTACTTCTTGAAATAGATTGAAAAATTAGACTTGATAAGATGATAAAATATTCAAAGTGTTCCACCACTGTGTACTTATCATATGTTAATAGCAACTATTTTCTGATAACATACCTAAGTGCTTGCACTAGAATTAGGTCTGTGAAGTCGTGTAATTCTACGAAGGCTCTTAGCACTGCCTCGTTAAAGTCCGACCGTTCACCAAGGTAATCGCCAATGGCTGTCTTGCTCAGACCCTCGCCTTTATGTAGGAATTGTGCCACATCTTCCGGGGTCCTCTGAAGTAAGCCATTCTCGTATAGGTACTCGATACCTGAAAAGAAAATTGAATATATTATAAAGAATAATGAGCGCCACAACAGTATAACAAAGATACAAGTTTTTCGCGCTTCACCTTTCTCTTTGATCGTTCCTTAGAAAGTAGTTCCAATAAAAAAAGGGAAAAGGACGTGTTTCTATTCATAGAACTTCCTACCTAGTAACTGGTACAAATATTTACTGTGATAGTCAGAGCTAAGACAACATACCGAGACAACTCTCATTTCAATAAAAGAAAATTTAACATTACACAAAATAAAATTAGAAAATCCCAAGAAATTACAAAACACAACAAACAAACTGAACTTCTAAATATATATATTAAATATATTGTAAAATAAATAAATACATTTATACAGTCTCAATCTAAATGCCATATTTATAATGTTAGGTACATTGCGGAATATATAAATATATATCAAATTTTAATTTATTTATAATTTATCTTATTATTTACTTAAAATACGAATGCTACATGTATATTATTAATTAATAGTACTACACTACTGTAGGAAACATTTAGCGAGTCTGAATATAACAGAAATAAAACAAAGCAAGGGAAAATAATAGGTCACACATTCGTAATAGAAGAGAAGATAATATTTAAGATAATTCCAGCCAAACTTTATTATTTATTCTCCTCAACAAAAACATATCTTTGAGAAATTGTTCTTTAATATTGAATTAAAGCTCTTAATGAAATAACGTTAAAATTAATGTTATAAAGAGAGACAGAAAGATTGAGAGAGCGGACTCAGTTATCACGAAACTCATCACACCAATTTGAAAGTTCTTGTACTGTTATAAAAGAATATTATTAAAGTTAGGAAGCACTCTGATAAAACCGAAGCGGGCTTAGTTTTGTTTTTGTCAACCATCTATACCAAACATGTGGGGATATAAAAAAAATATAGATATAGTTCTAATATTAAAATTGCTAAATAATTTTTGCGTTTACAGTTGCACAGATACGACGTGTAAAATACCAGGACTTAATTAAGGGTCCGGAGCGGCCCTTATGTAGCTTAAAGAACTAAAATATAGACATTATAGACCGAGTGGAAAGACGCTTAAATAACTGTTCTGACTGGTATAATCCACGGAAAATTCATGGCATGAACTTGTCTTCGTCAGTAAGGTGTTTTTTGTTCTGTTTGTATGTCTATGTGAAAGTAAAACAGTACAACCAATATGTTACAGTTACACTATAGTAACCGATTTCTAGTTTCATATGAATAAATAAGACTAGACTCATAAAATAATAATGATATTGCACTTATTGTTGTATTAACATTATTCAAATAATTATAATCTTTATTGCATAGTATAAAAAAGTCGCCGCCGCTGTCTGTTCGCTTATAATTTAATACGTAACGGATTGCAATGCAATTTTCAGCAATAGAAAGAATTATTCTAGGGGAAGGCTTATATGTACGATACATGCGTACTATAGATTATAAATGTACCATAGCCATAAATTAAATATTATACTTGTATATGTATTTGTAACATTTGTACCCAATTATTCAAAATAATAGTATTATAACGATATTACCAATATTTAAATTATATACAATCTTTGAACTGGATTGAGAGTTTAATGGGTAGCACATGTCTACGATATTCAAACTGTTGCCAACATAATATATATTTACTGTTGTTATTTCCGCTGCAAATACAGAAATGAGATCCAATTCCTAGTTATCGGCTAATACATTAAATAAATAGTAATAAGTACATAAACAATTGATTATTTATTAATTAATTCAAAGTATCTATTATTTTTTTTTTTATTTTACTAAATAACTCATCTACATTAGTTGTATAATTACAAAGGAAATAAAATATTATTAGACCTAAAAATAACATATTGACACAAACATCTCGAAAGTTGATGTACATAGTATTAAATAACTCTGAGTTAAGAACTGAATCTACATATTTTATATGAATATTAGAACTGCATGAAATCCAGTAATGGACGACATTTTAGTAAACGCCCAAGTCAAAGACGTCAACTAAAAAAATTGAAACGTCAGCAGATAGTTTAAACACAGACAGACTAGGTGTGGGTAGAGAGTGCAAATAACGTCACAAACTCAACCCACGCCTCCATTTGACGTCTGAATGGGGGTTTGTATGCATGGATCGAAGGTTAGCTATGAATGCTCCTTGGGTTTGCGATCAATTCTCAGGTCAAAAATATTGAAATTTTGTTTATTTTGTTATGTTGTTAGTTTGTTATGTTATATTCATTACCAACTCGTTGATTATTAAAGAAGTAATAGAACAAATCAATTGTTATTGTAAAACATATAGAATATAACGTAAGAAATAAATATGCTGGAAATATATAGACATATACACCAATATATGTCTATGTAATAACAAGACTAATTAAAAAATAATACCCAAATTCATAACTTCGTGAGGCTTTCATCGTCAGTCTTACGTCAGACCCAGTGTAAAAATGACCTAATTAACCTTGGATTACAACAGAGAATATTTAACATTACTTCCCTAAAATTTTAAAATAAGTAATAATATTTCTATAACCTAATTTTTACGATTAACATTAATTAAACAACTTAAGAGGTAAACCACGTTAAAATATGTTGAAGTACTTATACGTAGTTACTACCGTATATTTTAAACATTTTATTAATGTGATAATTATCAACTTTTCTGATATATAAAAATCTTTTGAAATGCAGACGTATACGGATGTCTGTGTGTGTACATAAACTTTGTGTTTCATTCATTTATCTGGTAAGTATCGGTATTCGCGGAAGGATACGGTTCATACCGCTTGACTGATCAAACACAACTAACACTTCGTCATTTTGTGGCAACATCAGATCCAGTTTATGAGATTACTAAACTACCGGTATGTACATAATCATAAATAAATATAAAAAATATATATCTATTAGATAAAAAAATAAGCTTGCTATACTTTTTGAATACATTACCGGTTGTTGCTTGTATAACAATTAATTTCATCATATTCAACTTTCATGTAATATCACTCACACAAATATCCTTTTAAGATGCTATCTAGACACGCGGCAGCGTGTCAAGCCGAGTTTCAAGTAAACTGGCTTGCAGCACCGTGTGTATATTTACACGAACCATTTGGAGCCACTTTTGACCCCCTCATAACTCAAAAACTCTTTCACACAAACCTGTCAAATTTGGTTCATATATTGAGACTTGCGAGATAAATATGTGTTCCAAATTTCATAAACATATCTCAAACGGTTATTTAGATATTAATGTCCAAAAATCGTCATTTTTATCACTGATCAACTATAGATCAAAATTATAACCCACTTCCAGATGACCTAGGAAGTTCAAATTTGGTATGCAGATAGGTAATTAGGTGAATATAAAGGAAAAAATCTGAAACTGGTAAATTGTTATCATTTTACTACAATTTTTCACTTTAATTGATTCTATTTCAACTTATACTGGACGAATACTAAAATTCTATGAAAACGTCGATAGCCACCAATTGACATTGATCCATGTCGAAAAATCTCATCTTGTACTGGACCGAAAGTAATATTGTATGAAAACGTCGATCATTACCAATTTACGTTGACCCCTTCACATCAGTGTCGATAACTAGCAAACTTCAAATATTGCATTGAGCGGTAAACACTAGTTGCTATAATTTAGATTCTGTCTAAAATATACTCGTACTTATAACTAAGAGTATAGTCGAATTTCGTATTTATTATGTTATTAACTAAGATTTGGTATTAATTATTGTTTCAATATTTAGCGCACATCGATAGTGTAAAATCATTATTTTTATAAATAATTATTAAATAAAAGGCAATTCGGAATAGGGCGCCGCGGTGGCGCCGTGTGGGAGCGGTGCGATAAAACTCAATGTTTTGTTTCTGGATATCTAACCTATAAGGTTGCGATTTATGCTACGAAATTTATAGCTTTCTTAAATTATACTTATATATTTGTGATTATATTATTATTACATTATTTTAGTAAATACGTATGGTATAGACAACAGTTTAAACCAAAAATTAATAACAATTTTAGTATAGTTATAAGTAGGAATGTACAGTTAACTCGAGAATGAGAACTTATTGGTAACAAATTGTTTTCTTGAGAATTCAATAGATAACAGTCAATTTGTTACATAATCGTCTTTACGAACTATAACGTGTCAATACGAAGTTTCAGATATTAAATAATGTATATGTTGATAGAGAACAATTCCGTATTTGCTTAACATATGCTATTACTATCCACAAATCACAAGGCCTTAGTTTTAGCAGTCCTCTTCTCAACATAGCCTCCTCTATATTTAATAAAGGGCAGGTTTACGTTGGACTCTCCAGAGTTAAAACCTTAGATGGAGTACGTCTTAACAATTTAGATCCAAGTCACGAGAGCTCTATTGTAGAGTATAACCATCTGTGGACGTTATACCGCCCCGATTTGCCCAAAAATTCCTGATACTGAATTGGCATTGCACTTGAACATTTAAAAGTTACAAGAAAATATAGAAAATAACAAAAAAAAAGACAACTATACCCCGTAAATATACGAAAATACAGTAATTTATCAAAAATAATTTGGTATTAATTTAGTTATAAATAAGTACCTCGTATAATTTATGTACAAAAAGTAATGATATCCCATCAAAAACATAAATGTGAAATGATAGCCGAGTTTAATATTATGATATATGGCTTGATTGTTGACTTCTACGACAAAAGAGATGAGATCTAAATGGGTGCCAAGTTCAATGGTCTGTCCTGAAATGTATTTATAACAATATAAAATATCATTTCTTCTTATAACTTAGGATAATATACTGTAGCCTAAGGTCTAACTTGGCTAGTTTTCATATACGAAATATACTGTAGCCTTCGCAAGTTCTAAACATGTTACTTGTCGGTTCCTATTTTAATATTAATAGTAACTAGCAATCGAAAGTAATAATTGGTATATGAGAACTGGCCA